CATGCGTGTCACATCATTGTTGTGTAGCGTTCACACAGGGGTCTGATACAGGTCACATTTAAAATGTAATGTGAACGTTCACACAAAAAGATCAGATTTTTTTCAAAAAATCGGAACTGAGCATTAAGACCTGCAGTGTGAACGTAGCCATGGTCTCATGATGTCAAAAGGTGAACAGCATGATGGGGACGACTGTTTAAACACCAGCTGTAATTGAACCAGGACATTTATTGGTCAATTCAATGATCAAACACCTGTTGTAAATTTTGCCGTTAAGCTCCTCGTTAGAAAACAGCAACTTGTACAAAAATAACTGAAACATTTAACAGTTGGATACATGCATTCAAAAGCTTAGAGAATGTCACATTAAGTTCATCTGTAAAGGCTTAAATCCATTTTAGGCTCGTCCTGAAATTTAACCCAAAAGCCGAATATCCCTAACTTTTTGTGAGTAGTGTACATTATGATAAAAAAAACAAAGAAAAAACACCGGTATGTTACAGTAGGACTAAAGTACAATATAAAATGACTTAAAACATTTAGTCACGGTCTAAGAATGACCTTTAAATACCGTAAGAGACCAACTCCTTCAGTCTTTGTGCAGTTGACTCCAGTCTGAGGGAGCAGCAAAGTGAAAGGATGTTTTGCTATAATCTTAAGAGAAAAGAGAGAGAGAGTGAGAAAAGAGAGAGAAAGAGAGTGGAAAGAGAGAGAGAGAGAAAGAGAAAAGAGAGAGAGAGAAAGAGAAAAGAGATAGGAAAAAGAAAAAATATTTTCGTATAAACACCTCTGAGCATTAAGCTAAAACTTGATATCTACCACAACTGGTCTCACATGCAGGATTTCACACATTAGCTGAACCTGAATATCAGCTAAAAAATGAACAAAAATAATGTTTTTAGGCACCAAGATAGACAACACTACATGTGTACAGTTACACACCACCAGTGGTACTTGTGTCACATTAAAGAAACTTGTTACGTAGTTAAATAGGGTGTATGTTTTGTAGGGAGATCTGATCCTAATGTTTCAGCACCAGAGTAGGTTTTTGTCCACACATTAGACATCAAAACAAAGCAATCAAAAATCCTAAAGGTTTTCTCTACATCAGGGGTGTCCACTCCTACTCGTGGAGGACCACTTGCTATGTTTACAGGGACATAAGTAATCAGGTAGATGTAAAGAACTGAGCTGATGATCAGTGACAGGATCTGGATCCTGGTTTGTTCTTCTCTCATGTGTGGAAACTATAACAAAATAAAATATTAGTCACATTATTAACCAGCTTTACTTTTTTATTTGGTGTTGATTTATTAGAAACATGTCTGACTGCCGCAGTTCTGTTCTTCTGTCTTTAGTCTCCCCCCAGAGAAGGCAGCCAGGGTGAGCTGACACCGGCCAACAGCCAGACCAGGATGAGTACCAATATGTGAGGAGGAGGAGGATTGCTCTTTATCAGCCACCATTACTCAGTCCTTTACACCTAAAACCTGAATCCCAAGTTTCTGGAACCATCTGTTGATGTCTGGAGTCTGACATGGAAATTTATAACGACAAGTGTGTTTAAATAAAAAGGAGCACTTGAACTGTAAACTAAAAAGAAATACACTTTAGTTCTGTATGGAGACCTCATTGTCAGCAGCATTTTAAAATAAACACCTTCCAAAAGTACACTTTGTGATTGTTTTATTGTTTAACATCATGAAAGGTAGGAGGTTGTGTAATCAACTGGGTGTGTGTCTGGTTTAATACAGGTGCTGGTCATAAAATTAGAATATCATGAAAAAGTAGATTTATTTCAGTAATTCCATTTAAAAAGTGAAACTTGTATATTATATTCATACATTACATACAAACTCATATATTTCAAATGTTTATTTCGTTTAATTTNTGAGTTGCCGCCATGTGATTGGCTGATTAGAAATTAAGTGTTAACGAGCAGTTGGACAGGTGTACCTAATAAAGTGGCCGGTGAGTGTAGATCTCCAGGAGCTGACAGCACATTGAGGACAGGAGGCTTTGGAGCCTCTGAGGCGCAGCGGGAGCGCACGCTGCGGGATTTCCTCCTGCTAAAGCCACAGTTTGTAGGACTTGGAAATAAAGTCTTGCTGACTTCTGATCACTTTGACTGGAGAAATGTTTTCTAATTTTAAAACTTTGGCTTAAGTGGTGCTTGTTATTGCAACAGTGTTGCAGCAGAGCGCGGGTTAGTTTTCAGAAGCACCGGTGCAGATGTGCGCAACGTGAGATTTTCCTTAGGAGACATTTTATTGCATAAATCAAAGCTACTCGTTTGCTGTTTTTATTTAAAAAAAATTAACAGTGGCAGCGGCGCGTTAACTGACTGAATCTCTGCCTCTCTTTTCTGTCATCCTCCTGCAAAGGAGACAGAAATAAGGTGGTGTTATCTAATGTTGCAAACTGCAGCCACTAAATAACGTTTGTAGATATTTTTATTAATATTTTTACTTTTCGTACAGTAACAGTCAAAAGCGGGACAGTGTGTGCGCGCCATTGTGAGCGTTGGCCTGGTGTGGGTCAGATGCGCTGTTTTTCAGCACTGTGCGCATCGCGCTCATGTGTACGGAGCCCGCGAGGGGACACGAGATTATTTTTCTTTTGCGTTCCCAGGCAATACTTTTTGTGTTCCCTCGCAAAAGTAGTTTACCACTGTTGTGCCTGCTGGTTTATTAGCAAACTCACATGTTCACCATTAGCGAGTTAGCCTACTGCTTTAATTCAGCTTCAGAATGAATATATCACACAGCCACGCATGGAAGTATGTCATATGCCGATATTTTAACACAGTACAGCCACGCAACATCAATGTCAATTTCACAAACTTGTGGCAACACATCCTGTTTTGGTAACCGGATATTTCAAAATAAGTCTGATTTAATTCAGTTCTTAATCAAAAATTTTTGCGAGGGAACGCAAAAGGGGAAAAAAATCCCCCATGTCCCCTCGCGGGCTCCGTACATGTGGGTGCACTGATGAGATTTTCTCCAATAAAATCCTGCAGCCTCAGCATCTGAGGCAGAACTGCAAAACCAACATTAGAATACCCACATTCTATGAATGTTTAGTCATTATCATTGAAAAAAGAAAGTGATGGGTAAAAATTCATCATGACAGATTTTTTTTTACCCTGTCAGTCAAAATGACGGACGGCAAAAAGTCTAGCACAACCTCTGCTGCAACCAATCATAAAGTTAGAGCATGAGACAAACCTTGCTGGCACCTGAAACAAAAACGGACCTGGTTCTTCAACCCACTCCAGGCATATCTTTGAATGGCATATTTAGGACTCCATGCTCGAGACACTGAATAACTTCACATGAAGTTCATGACTTTTATGGCAGACAGATCAGCAATGCACAACCACTGATTCCTGTTTCTATTGACCCACAGACTCATGATTCTAKTTTAATGATGGTTCTGATGCAAAAGCTGCTGCATGAGGAGTTGAAAGACAGATTTGAGTCGTTGAAGGAAAGTTTCTACCATCTTGACCAAACTAAATTCAGTGTACTCCACAAAGACAAAAAAAAGTCATTCCATTACCTCACTTTCAAGGAAGGACACGTGGTCTTATCGAAGGAAAAAGCCGTGTGATTGCTGAGGAAAATCAAAGTTAAAGTTCATCATCATCAAGGATCCATAAGGCAACAGAGCACAGGGTAGAACCAAAGTTTTTAATGTTTGAAGCAGAAATCACTGAGTTTACTCATTATTTTAGACCACCACTTTATTGTCAAATGTTTATAGAAGTAGCAAATTTATTTGGAAATATAAAAAAACTAACAGTGGAATTTAATAGTAATCTCTTCTTTGTAAAATTTTATTTTCCAATAAAAACAGCTGAGCATGCATCAAGACAAAACCTGTCTTTAGCTCATTAAATCAAGGGGAAAGTAGCTAAATAAACAATTTAATTATATTACATTAAAAACAAATGGAATGACTGTATAAAACTAAATTAAGACAATGTTTGTAAGACCCACTTAGGAAAAAGCAAAGCCACAGCAGTTTTATCTATAACCTCAATACTCAAGCATAGAAAACCTATAAATATGGAGTAAAGTACTTATGGACAGAGCTTTAACAGAACTAGATTGTGACCAAAAATCTTTTCTTTTAAAAGTTCTATCAAAAAGTGGATTTAAGTTAACAATTGATTTTAAATAATGGCTTTTCTGAAGGAGAAAGGCTAGAAGCTTGAAGACCATCAGCTTAATCATTGCTTTGTTCCACGGAGGCACCTCACCTCTGAATCACATCTTCACCTGAGGTTCATTCATGCTTTAAACATCTGAAACTGCACAGCACCATGTGCCCATTGCTGATTTATTAAAGTTGATCTATTGAAGTGTCACGTCAGGTTTCCACAGAGTAGAGTATCCAGCTGGCTTCACTCACTCAGCTGTGGACCAGCTCTACCACAAGTCCAGGTTTTCTATATTAGAAAAGCCTGGATCTTTGCGGATCTTCCAGTAGGTTCCATCATACAACCACACCTCCTGGCCCGTTTCATCCACAGCTTTTCTGTAACAAACAAAACAAAACAAAAAAAACACCAAATCACAACTAAGTCATCTGAACCACAAAATATTATAGGACTTTGTCCTGATGCATCTCAGTAATCCAGGTAAAAAAATCAGAAAGAAAAAAATCAAAAAGAAAAAAAATTGTATAGGTCTTCTGGACGGGTTCTTCTCTAATGAAACGTTTCGTCTCTCTTCCAAGAGACTTCTTCAGTCTGAGAGTTTCAGGC